ATTACTATAAAAAAAAAAAACACTAGATTTGCCTTGAAATTCTTATAAACATAAGTAGATAAAACCATGAACATAAATTCAAATGAAATTCTCTCCAGAGCTTTGACTCTCTCTACAATTATTTTGCAAAACCCAATTGCTAGACAACGAGTTTTGCCAGTTAATCTAAATCTTAATGATTTAGAACAATATATTAGTTCAATTACTTCACATAATAGAAATTTATTGAAGGATCCGCGAAGAATAATGGGTTTTCATTTATGCAAAGCGAATGTGAAAAAAGAGGGCGAACGACAGGGAGAAGAGCATCCACGAGTTTTGGAAATTGCTGCAAGGATGGTATGGATGAGGTGCAATTTTGGTGAAAGAAATGTTCATTCCTTGGGCAAAAATATAGTTAGGGAGAGACTTCGAATGGTGGGATAAATTTATGATAAATGTTTTTTTTTATGCGCTAAATTCAACAAATATATGACGTATTTGTTTCGTTACATTTCTTTGATATGCAATATAATAAATATAGAATATACATATAGATGTAATTGATGTGCTATGTATTTTAAATCTTTGTTTTTAAATTTTCAATAAATATAAATACAAATACAAGGGTTTATAGAGGCTTTAATGCAAGAAAATCTGATTTACTGCATGAATCGATCGTTGCTTGTTTGCTTTTCCATTATATGTTTTACAATAATTTTGTTTATATTAAAAACATATTAAATTGATTATTATGATGAGTACAGATGATTCTATGTTGCACTACCGCCACTTTGTGTTTCAAATTTCTATTTCATAGTAATAGGTTTGTGTGATGTAACTAAAGTTGTAGGGTCGAAAAACGTGACCTTACCGAATTCCACAAGGACAATAGATCAACGCAACTAATGGAATCAATCGATGAAAAATGGTTCCTTTGATTATTTGACGCCACATGATTATGGATAGTAGTTTGTTCTATCAGCTGAATATTTCGTGCAACGTATAATTTTTAAATTTATTTTACTTAAGCGACATGAAATAACCATTCGTTAAGATTGGTTGACAATGAAATGAGAATGCCCATTACCTTTAACTTGTCAGGTACAGTTACCATAAATATGTAAGATACATTAATGTGTTTATGTATTACAATAACCTTTTAAGCGTTTAAGTTACTTATGCTAGATTTGTTAATCACGTAACCAAAACGACCAGAATAGTCAAAAGGTACTTTTTTAATTTCATGTATTCTACAATTTGAAAACTCCGTACCGTTGTATAAAGATTTTATATTTAGATATATAGATTTTCTTTTGTCGACATTCAAATGATAAATTTTTGAAGAAAATATAAATTATAGCTATAAGCTTGACCAGAACTTCATAAATCTAATATAGAACACATCATTTCAACTCGATCTAAGTTAGAGTTAGGCCGATTTGCTAGTGTCGGTAAACAAAATAATGTCATTGCATGATTTCACGTAATCAATGGGCTCCTTGTTCTTGCTGTATTAATGCTACAGCTTTACCTTTAAAGAGATTAAATGTTACTATTCTTTTTTCTTCAAAGCCTAGAAAATTGCTAGTTTTCTCTTAAGTCTGTTAATATAATAAGAACTACATGTGTAGATTTCAGGTCACTAGTAGTTAATTCCTCTAATGCCTGATATATGCAACCATCATTACAGATTTTTTCAATTCAAAAAGTATCCAATACCTTCACTCATAGAAAATATATGGAGCTCTTCGTATTTGACTTTGAAAATCTTCTCATCCTCACAGGGATCCAGGCTTACTTCGAGTATGTTATCTTTCTTGCTAGATAGTTTTCTTGTGAAATCGAGATCTTCGTTAGATCCCAGCTTTTGAAAGCAAAATTGTTGTTGACTGTCTTCGCATATAAATATGATTTTATGGGGCTTTTGATGAAATAGAACCCTATCAACAATGGCTACATCTGTGGTCCTAATCAATTTTACCGGCAAAATATTATTAACACTCATACTTTAGAAAATTGATGCTTTTAGATGCATCATATACATCAAGTTTCCGGTACTTAGAAGCTTGAAGTATTTTTCTAATATGAGATATATATCTATCTTTTTGGTCTCCTTCTGGGCGATCATCCATTGAAAATCAACGACACTCTCTATCCTCATATTCAAATTTCAAATCAATTGCTTCAAGCTTGAGACCGGTAGCTACTTGATTTTTATCCCAGTCATTGCACTTTATTGTTGATATTGATACATCCAAAGGTTTTTGTAGATTTTTCATCAAATTCTCAAGGTTATTAAGTCTTGCTTATTGAAATACTATTAAATATTAATTAGTACGTAGTTTGAGTTATTTAATACACTTCAAGATTACTACTTACTAATATAGACTCTGTATTGTTTTTAAACCTGTTGAATAAATAAAATTTATTATGTTAATAATTTTATCTACTGTATGTTAAGTCATAAAAAAGTCATTTTAACTTACTTCTCTTTTATGAACTGAGTAATGTCTTAATTGTTAAGTGCAACTATACATGATGGTGTCGTGATCATATGTATCCTCCAAATCAACTTGAACTTTCTTTGCCGAAAACACTATTGCAAATCCTCCTTCACCAATCTTTTGAACGTTATCTAATCTATTAAAAGGAATCCATTAGATCACATCTGCATAAGTTGTGGCTTTAAGCTAAAATTCTTTAACACAATCATCAACATCCTTATTTCCACTTGTCAGTCCTTGTGTTGTTTCTGAGGTCATATGTTTGACACCAAGCTTGATGTGCTATATATGTTGCAATTTGTACATACCCCATTGTATTTACTTCTTTTAGAACCAAATTCATCAAATACTAACATATATTTGTTGTGCCTCAGACTAACGCTTGCCTCGGATCACAGCTGACGCACCTCAGGTGTAGATTGTTAGATGAGGTGCGTA